GACCGTTCAGGCAAAAGAATGTCCTCAAGGAAAATTTGTGTGTGCTGTGGAGGGCAAACAGTAAGGCATGGGTCACTAGGGACTTTTTCTATGACTGTTTACACAATGCATTTGCCCCCAATGTGAAAGATTACCTAACTGAAAAGAAATTAGAACTTAAGTGCCTCCTGGTGTTAGACAATGCCCCTGGTCATCCTACAGACGTGGCAGAGAGACTTTATGGGGACATGAAATTCATTAAGGTGAAGTTTTTGCCTCCTAATACTACTCCTCTCCTGCAGCCCATGGACCAGCAGGTTATTGCAAACTTCAAAAAACTGTACACAAAAGCTCTGTTTGAAAGGTGCTTTGTAGTGACCTCAGAAACTCAACTGACTCTAAGAGAGTTTTGGAGAGATCACTTTAATATCCTCAATTGTGTAAACCTTATAGGTAAGGCTTGGGAGGGAGTGACTAAGAGGACCTTGAACTCTGCTTGGAAGAAACTGTGGCCAGAATGTGTAGACCAAAGGGATTTTGAAGGGTTTCAGGCTAACCCTGAGAATCCTATGCCAGTTGAGGAATCCATTATGGCATTGGGAAAGTCCTTGGGGTTGGAGGTTAGTGGGGATGATGTGGAAGAGTTGGTGGAGGAGGACAATGAAGAACTAACCACTGATGAGCTGATTGATCAACTTCAACAGCAAGAGGCCAGACCTGAGGAAACTGGTTCGAAGGAGGGGAGAGAGAAATTGAAGAAATTGCCCACTACAAAGATTAAGGAAATCTGTGCAAAGTGGCTTGAAGTGCAAACCTTCATGGATGAAAATCACCCTCACACAGCTATTGCAAGCCATGCTGGTGACTATTACACTGACAATGTTGTGAAACACTTTAGGGAAGTCATAAAGGAACGAGAGGTACAGGCCACTATGGACAGATATGTTGTGCGACAGAACTCCAGTGACTCTGAAGCTGGTCCTAGTGGCATTAAAAGAAGAAGGGAAGTAACCCCAGAAAAGGACTTGACACCTCAAGTCTTAATGGAAGGGGATTCCCCTTCTAAACACTAACACTCTCTCCTCCTCCCATCCCATCAATCATCACCAGATCTTCAATAAAAGTAAGTGTCATGTAATTGTGCATGCCTTTTTCAGTTTGTGTGTATTAAAATTAATATTTCATGTGGTAAAAATTTTTTTTTTTCATACTTTGGGGTGTCTTGCATGGATTAATTTGATTTCCATTATTTCTTATGGGGAAAATTCATTCGCATAACGATAATTCCGCATAACAATGAGCTCTCTTGCACGGATTAATATCGCTATGCGGGGGTCCACTGTACTTGCAACATCTGCCACGTTGCTCCTCTATCCACTCTATCATATGCCTTTTCTAAATCCATAAATGCAAAAAAAAACTTCCCTACCTTTATCTAAATACTGTTCACATATATCTTCAATGTAAACACTTGATCTACACATCCCCTACCCCCTTTTGAAGCCTCCTTGCTCATCCGCAATTCTACATTCTGTCTTACCCTAATTCTTTCAATTATAACCCTACCGAAATACTTTTCCTGGTATACTCAGTAAACTTATTCCTCTATAATTTTTACAATCCTTTTGTCCCCTTTTCCCCTTTTATATAAAGGGACTATACATGCTCTCTGCCAAATCCCTAGGTACCTTCCCCCTCTTTCATACATTTATTAAACAAAAGTACCAAACCACTCCAACACTAAAATCCCCCCCTGCTTTTAACATTTCTGTCATGACCCCATCAGTTCCAGCTGCTTTAACCCCCTTTCTTTCTACGTAATGCCTCACATACCTCCCCCACACTTACATTCTGCTCTTCTTCACCCTAAAGATGGAAATACCTCCCTAACCAGTGCATGAAATTACCGCCTCCCTTTCTTCCTCAACACTTAAAAGTTCCTAAAAATATTCTCGCCATCTACCTAATACCTCCCTCTCCCATCTACTAACCCCCCCCTACTCTGTTTTTAACTGACAAATCCATACTTTCCCTAGGCTTTCTTAACTTGTTTAACTCACTCAAAAATTTTTCTTATTTTCATTAAAATTTCTTGACAGTGCCTCTCCCACTCTTTCATCTGCTCTCCTTTTGCACTCCTCAACCACTCTCTTCACCTTCTTTTACTCTCCATATACTCTGCTCTTCTTAAAACCCATTCTGCTTTGTAAAACCTCTTGTAAGCTACCTTTTTCTCTTTTATCACACCCTTTACTTCATCATTCCACCAATCACTCCTCTTTCCTCCTGCCCCCACCCTCCTATGACCACAAACTTCTGCCCCACATTCTAATACTGCATTTTTAAAACTATTCCAACCCTCTCAACCCCCCCACTACTCATCTTTGCACTAGCCCACCTTTCTGCCAATAGTCGCTTATATCTCGCCCGAACTTCCTCCTCCCTTAGTTTATACACTTTCACCTCCCTCTTACTTGTTGTTGCCACCTTCCTCTTTTCCCATCTACCTCTTACTCTAACTGTACCTACAACTAAATAATGATCTAATATATCAGTTGCCCCTCTATAAATATGTACATCCTGGAGCCTACCCATCAACCTTTTATCCACCAATACATAATCTAACAAACTACTTTCATTACGTGCTACATCATACCTTGTATATTTATTTATCCTCTTTTTCATAAAATATGTATTACTTATCACCAAATTTCTTTCTACACATAGCTCAATTAAAGGCTCCCCATTTACATTTACCCCTGGCACCCCAAATTTACCTACTACTCCCTCCATAACATTTTTACCCACTTTAGCATTGAAATCCCCAACCACCATTACTCTCACACTTGATTCAAAACTCCCCACGCATTCACTCAACATTTCCCAGAATCTCTCTCTCCTCTACACTTCTCTCTTCTCCAGGTGCATACACACTTACTATAACCCACTTTTCACATCCAATCTTTATTTTACTTCACATAATCCTTGAATTTATACATTTGTAGTCCCTCTTTTCCTGCCATAGCTTATCCTTCAACATTATTGCTACTCCTTCTTTAGCTCTAACTCTATTTGAAACCCCTGACCTAATCCCATTTATTCCTCTCCATTGAAACTCTCCACCCCCTTCAGCTTTGTTTCACTTAAAGCCAGGACATCCAGTTTTCTTCTCATTCATAACATCCACAATCATCTCTTTCTTATCATTTGCACAACATCCACGCACATTCAGACTTCCCACTTTGACAATTTTCTTCTTCTTATTCTTTTTAGTAATCTTTACAGGAAAAGGGGTTACTAGCCTATTGTTCCCGGCATTTTAGTTGACTTTTACAACACGCATGGCTTACGGAGGAAAGATTCTTATTCCACTTCCCCATGGATATAAAAGGAAAAGTAATAAGACCAAGAACTATTAAGATAAAATCAAAGAAAACTCAGATGAGTGTGTATAAATAAACGTGTACATGTATGTGTAGTGTGACCTAAGTGTAAGTAGAAGTAGCAAGACATGCCTGTAATCTTGGATATTTATGAGACAGACAAAAGACACCAGCAATCCTACCATCATGTAAAACAATTACAGGCTTTCGTTTTACACTCACTTGGCAGGACTGTAGTACCTCCCTGGGTGGTTGCTGTCTACCAACCTACTACCTATATCTTCTTTCTTTCAACACACCAGCTGTATCCCACCGAGGCGGGGTGGCCCAAAAGGAAAAACGAAAGTTTCTCCTTTTGCATTTAGTAATATATACAGGAGAAGAGGTTACTAGCCCCTTGCTCCCGGCATTTTAGTCGCCTCTTACAACACGCATGGCTTACGGAGGAAGAATTCTGTTCCACTTCCCCATGGAGGTAAGAGGAAATAAACAAGAAGAACTAGAAAGAAAATAGAAGAAAACCCAAAGGGGTGTGTATATATATGCTTGTACATGTATGTGTAGTGTGACCTAAGTGTAAGTAGAAGTAGCAAGACGTACCTGTAATCTTGCATGTGTATGAGACAGAAAAAAAAAGACACCAGCAATCCTACCATCGTGTAAAACAGTTACAGGCTTCAGTTTTACATTCACTTGGCAGGACGGTAGTACCTCCCTGGGCGGTTGCTGTCTACCAACCTACTACCTAGGTACTACCTTTATATATAATATATATATAATATATATATATATATATATATATATATATATATATATATAAATATATATATATATATATATATATATATATATATATATATATATATATATATATATATATATATATGCATCTAGGTAGTAGGTTGGTAAACAGCAACCGCCCAGGGAGGTACTACCGTCCTGCCAAGTGAGTGTACAACGAAAGCCTGTAATTGTTTTACATGATGGTAGGATTGCTGGTGTCTTTTGTCTGTCTCATAAACATGCAAGATTTGAGGTACATCTTGCTACTTCTACTTGCATTTAGGTCACACTACACATACATGTACAAGCATATATATACACACACACCCCTCTGGGTTTTCTTCTATTTTCTTTCTAGTTCTTGTTCTTGTTTATTTCCTCTTACCTCCATGGGGAAGTGGAACAGAATTCTTCCTCCGTAAGCCATCCGTGTTGTAAGAGGCGACTAAAATGCCGGGAGCAAGGGGCTAGTAACCCCTTCTCCTGTATATATTACTAAATTTAAAAAGAGAAACTTTAGTTTTTTCTTTTGGGCCACCCCGCCTCGGTGGGATACGGCTGGTATATTGAAAGAAAGAAAGTTATATATATGCATATACATGCACGTGTCGTGTGACCTATGTGTAAGTAGAAGTAGCAAGATATACCATACAATTTTCAAAAACCTGAAAATTTAAATATGTATTACCAGTTGTAGGCTGATATTTGTGATTACAAATGCCATTTTATAATTAATACAAGCAGCATGAAATAAAAAACCTTTGCTTACTAAACAATTCTTGAGTTAACCTTGCGTCATATTTTCAATTAATACAAACTATAATTTTTCCCTTGGGAGGAAACAGTAATATGTACCTGTCTGTGGCTGTGTAAAAGACAGCAGGCGTGTTAGCCCTTCCTTAAAAACATCTAGGACACCTGGCTTTTCACTGGCTATTTCACTCTGAACAGTTTCCACAAGGCTGGCACTATAGAATGGCGTGATGAGAGCCAAGGCAGAACACTTTAAAAGTAAGTGCTGCCCCATCGTCTTAGGAGAGCTGTGAGGGGAGATCTCCCTGAAAATGTGCAAATTATAATCAGCAAGTTCTGGCTGTCTATGTGAAGATTATCAAGAAACATGCAAAGAAGTGATGTTTTTAACATCACGTTTTTTTCTTTTCTGACAATACTTTTCCACCACTGACCATTAGTTTTACCAGTTAAATTGCAGTACAGTATATTCAAACACTCTTAAACAGACATCATACAGCAGATACAATATTTATTTCCGTATTACTTTTGTCCCTATGGAAATCCATTCAATTCAATAATGTATTACTAGATATTTTGGCTTGTGGTGACTATTCATCCAAGAAAGCGTGCAAAGACAAGTCCTGCTCAAATAAAAGCACACGTGTAAGAGTAAAATTTATGTACATCAGTTCCTTAGTGTACCCGGCATACAATATGTGGAGAATGTAGGAAAAAAATAATATAACTGCATGAAGGTACATAAACAAATGTACTGTTCTTATAATATTCAATCAAATCTCATTAATACTTAGTATGTGAAGAGTAACAGTAGTGTTGTGGAGTACGATCATGCAAGGCATTCAATATAGACAAATGAAGCATTTATAGTCGAATCCTGATTAACATGTGTCTGGACAACTCACTTTCAATAAAATACAAAATGAAATATTGTACCAAAGTCTGAACTGCACAGGAAGAAAACTGGAATAGCAAGCTGTAAATTTTAGGGAAATCATGCATTAGTCAACTTTGGAGGCCAAATTCATTTTCAACACACAGCAAAAACTTTTCCCTCTGCCCTACAGTTAGCCAACAGGTGAGATATTTTATCGTTTAGGGGAAAGGCCGAGACTCATACTTTGTGTAAACAAACATCTACACTGCCAGTTTGTGTGTGCAAGCATCCCACACCATCCTAAGTCATGCGTCATTCAATATCGGATCTTCTCATCACTCCATCTTATTTCATGGAACTCAAGAGGAATACTAGTGGTGATAGAGATGCCAAGAAGAGCAAGAATGAAAGTATGAGAGTTTTGAAAAATGCTGAATTTTTAAGACATGCTTAACCTTTTCACTGTCTAGACCCTTGAAGTTAATATTGCTCCCAGTATCCACTTTAAAAAAAAATCTGATATGGTAGAGAATTTTTTTCTGGAGGTAATGACATTAAAAGTACGAAATTTGATGGAAAACTTACGAAATTATGCAGGTGCAAAGTTAGAAATCTGAGTGTAATTTACACATTGGCAATTTTGCCAACCTTGAGTCCTATTTGCTGGATGGCTCAGTGTTCTAAGTATATTCTGGATGGTTCAATGTTTTAAGTGTGTTTTGGATAGATCAATGTTTTAAATGTGCAGGCTGGTGCATAATATTAAGACTAGTGGGAAAAGTGCATCTGCTGAACTACAGCCATTCACAATGGTTCAGCAGGGCCACACCAACTCTCTCAATGTATTTCAAGATCAACCTATAAATGGTGGTATGTCCAGAAAAAAAATTCCTTATGTGTGGGAACATTTTGAAAAAAGAAAAAATCTCTTACAGAATGAATGGTGGAATCAGATGAAAACTTAAGATTTTATGGTATGTTGAAGTTGGTGAAAAATGAAAAAAATGATCACTCATCAGCAACAGCAGTATAAATGCAGTATAAATGTACATTTTTACAATTTACTGATATCAAATTATAGTTTTTTTCATTTTTTAATTGCTTTTAATTTTGAGCACTATGTACACTAGTTTCCTATGATATTAGATGTGTTTAAAGATGTTTTAGCACTCCAAACATAGGGAAATGCCAAGTCCAACATTGCTCCACTTGGAATATACAGTATATATTTTTTTGTATTTTCTTTACTACTTTGATCTTCTAATAGTATGTAGTACAAGGAATACTTATAATATACAGGTCTCCCTCAACATTCACGTTTTCAACTTTCACGGGCTTCACACATTCGCGAATTCCCAACCGCCAAATTCCCAGCCACCAAATTCCCAGCCGCCAAATCATATTTAAGTTTCCCGCCACTGGCGAGTCCCTACTACCCTCCCTCCGACCCCTGCAACTGGCAGCCAGCCCTCCCACCACTCAGTGTGGTGAGTGTTTTGTTTGTTCATTATTTGCTATTAAACTACAGAATAAATAATGTAAACCCATTCATGACTGCATATTGGAATGGCTATTAGGAAAGGTATTAGACGGTGACATCATGTGTTTACTCTTGAACACAGCAAAGAATTAAACATTTCTGCTACAGCTAATAATAACAATAGTGATAATAATAATAATAATAATAATAATAATAATAATAAATATGATATAATTGAAGAAGGAAATTGTACAAAAATACGAGGGAGTGGTTGACACATCGTCAATGTGACTTTGTTTATGCTGGAGTGAACATTAGTCTCCCTGCTCTTCCAAACATTTCACAATAATTCATTGTGTTTGGTGCTTGTAGATTGAGTGCGACTGGAGTGGTAGAGGCAGTGATTGAGGCAATGGTATTTAATAACATACATGTTAATAATAATACATGTTATTAATAATATGTACTATTATTATTTATAACATACAGTGGACCCCCGCATACCGTTGGCATCACATAACGTTAAATCCGCATACCGATACATTTTATCGCTAAGATTTTGCCTCGCATACCACTAAAAAACCCGCTCAACGCTATTCGTCCGAGACGCGTCTAATGTGCGGCCTGAGCCAGCCTCACATGTTCCGCCGGTGGCATTGTTTACAAGCCAGCCTCCACGGTAACATCCAAGCATACAATCGGAACATATCGTATTATTACAGCATTTTTGGTGATTTTATCTGCAAAATAAGTGACCATGGGCCCCAAGAAAGCTTCTAGTGCCAACCCTGTGGTAAAAAGGGTGAGAAATATTATCGAAATACTGTGGTACCATGGTCAACTGCTAATGCTGCTGCTGCTGTAGCACTGTCAGCTGCTGCTGCTGCTGTAGCACCATCAGCTGCTGCTGTTGCTGTACCACCGTCAGCTGCTGTTGCTGTAGTACCGTCTGCTGTTGCCATAGCACAGTCTGCTGCTGCTGTAGCACTGTCAGCTGCTGCTGCTGCTGCTGCTGTAGCACTGTCAGCTGCTGCTGCAGCACCATCAGCTGCTGCTGCTGCTGTACCACCGTCAGCTGCTGCTGCTGCTGTAGCACTGTCAGCTGCTGCTGTAGCACTGTCAGCTGCTGCTGCTGCTGATGCTGCACTGTCAGCTGCTGCTGTAGCACCGTCAGCTGCTGGTGCTGCTGTACCACCGTCAGCTGCTGCTGCTGCTGTAGTACCGTCTGCTGCTGCTGTAGCACCATCTGCTGCTGCTGTAGCACTGGCAGCTGCTGCTGTAGCACTGTCAGCTGCTGCTGTAGCACTGTCAGCTGCTGCTGCTGCTGTAGCACTGTCAGCTGCTGCTGCTGCTGCTGTAGCACCATTGTTGGTGTGGCTTATTGAGAATACCAAGAAACAATTAACCCCAGAGGGTTAGCCACCCAGGATAACCCAAAAAAGTCAGTGTCATCGAAGACTGTCTAACTTATTTCCATTGGGGTCCTTAATCTTCTTCCAGGATGCAACCCACACCAGTCGACTAACACCCAGGTGAACAGGGAAAAATGCCTGGAACTAGTGCTCATATTGGTGAATTTAAAGCCAGCAAAGGTTGGTTTGAGAGATTTAAGAATCGTAGTGGCATACACAGTGTGATAAGGCCTGTTCTGGAAGAAAATGCCAAACAGGACCTACAGTACTCAGGAGGAAAAGGCACTCCCAGGACACAGTGTCTCATCAGCCATTGCTGCATCTTCAATAAAGGTAAGTGTCATTTATTCTTCATTTAGTAGAGTAGTACATGCACAATATATATTGTGCATGTACTACTCTACTATTGTGCATGTATCCTTCTCTTTGTGTGTAGGAAAATGTATATTTCATGTGGTAAAATTTTTTTTTCATACTTTTGGGTGTCTTGCACGGATTAATTTGATTTCCATTATTTCTTATGGGGAAAATTCATTCGCATAACGATAATTTCACATAACAATGAGCTCTCAGAAACGGATTAATATCGTTATGCGGGGGTCCACTGTATATGTTATTAAATACATACATGTTAATAATAATACATGTTAATAATAATACATGTTATTAATAATAACATGTACTATTATTATTTATAACATATATGTTATTAAATACCACTGCCTCAACCGCTGAATTACTGTGAAATGTTTGGAAGAGCAGGGAAACTAATGTTCACTCCAGCATAAACAAAGTCACACTGATGATGTGTCAACCACTCCCTCGTATTTTTGTACAATTTCCTTCTTCAATTATATCGTATTTATTATTATTATTATTGTTATTATTAGCAATAGCAGAAATGTTCGATTCTTTGCTGTGTTCAAGAGTAAACACATGATGTCACCGTCTAATACCTTTCCTAATAGCCATTCCAATATGCAGTCATGAATGGGTTTACATTATTTATTCTGTAGTTTAATAGCAAATAATGAACAAACAAAACACTCACCACACTGAGTGGTGGGAGGGCTGGCTGCCAGTTGCGGGGCTCGGAGGGAGGGTAGTAGGGACTCGCAGTGGTGGAGGCATTGGTGGAGTCTGTGGTATTTAATAACATACATGTTATTAACATACATGTTATTAAATAACATACGTTATTAAAGCATAACATGTATATATTTAGTAGAATTTACGACGTTTTCATGTATTTTATGATTATTCATGGTTCAACAAGTTAAGGAAGCAGTATTGTAATATATTTCCCTACAATATATTGGGGCACCAAACATTCACTGTTTTTCAACATTCGCGAGGCTCTTGATCCCCTAACCCTCGCGAATGTTGAGGGAGACCTGTAGTTTTTTAAAGTTGTAATACTCCTCAAAACATGGAAAGAAGTCACACAGTTTGACTATATTGGGTTATCCTAGGTTAATTATTTATGATTTAGATTTAGGTTTAAGGGAATATCCTGGGTTATATAAACAACATTTTGTGCTCATAACACCTCTGTGCCTTCCAGAGTACTGTAAAACATACGTATTTACAACAAAATCCTGCCATATTACAAATGTTTCAAGGTGCAATGCCCATGGAAACATGGAAATAAGTTGCACTGTATAACTGATTGGGATATCCTGGGTTAAAACTACTTAGCATGCTTTCTGGCTGAATTCCACTGTTAGTATCAAGAAATTGTAAATATTATAAATTTTTTTTTTTTTTTTTCAACAAGTCGGCCGTCTCCGCCGAGGCAGGGTGACCCAAAGAGAAAGAAAATCCCCATAAAGAAAATACTTTCATCATCATGAAAGGAGGTAAAGGAGGGTGTGTGGGCGAGGGGCTTGGACTTCCAGCAAGCATGCGTGAGCGTGTTAGATAGGAGTGAATGGAGACGAATGGTATTTGGGACCTGACGAGTTATTGGAGTGTAAGCAGGGTAATATTTAGTGAAGGGATTCAGGGAAACCGGTTATTTTATATAGCCGGACTCGAGTCCTGGAAATGGGAAGTACAGTGCCTGCACTTTAAAGGAGGGGTTTTGGTATACTGGCAGTTTGGAGGGATATGTTGTGTATCTTTATACGTATATACTTCTAAACTGTTGTATTCTGAGCACCTCTGCAAAAACAGTGATTATGTGTAAGTGAGGTGAAAGCGTTGAATGACGAAAGTATTTTCTTTTTGGGGATTTTCTTTCTTTTTGGGTCACCCTGCCTCAGTGGAAGATGGCTGACTTGTTAAAAAAAATAAAAAAAAAAAAGTCATCTTCATGTCAGTTGCACACCTGTTTGCTGGTATGGAAGCTGGTGGTGAAATAATAGCTCCTGAGTTCATTGTTTACTTATGTTAGTTAGGTGAACTAGTAAATCAGAGACATAGTCATCACCTGTGTAGACCCTCCTAGTCTTCAAATTCAAAATTCAAGAATTTATTTCAAAAAGCATGAAGAGATTGTAGAAGACCCAAAGAGTTGTAGTGAGGTCAAAAACATTGGCAGGTGGCAGATTTGTAGGTACGAAAAACTGTATAATAGTATGTTGGACACAATTGTCATAAGCATACACGAATGTTGCACACAGTTTAAGGGTCAAAAAGTACTGTTCCATTAACCAGAATTTAGGTCAAGAAAAATTGACTTAATCTTTTTCTTAGCTACATGTACTGTATTTTATTAGTGCACATCTCACTACATACACTTACAATATAAGGTATGAAAAAGTTAGATATTTCTGACAAATTACAAAACTTAAAAACTTATTTGGCTTTCTTTGTTGCACATATGTAATTCTTTTTATCCCATATGTTTTTCAGTCCAGTTAACATGATTTCATTTAAAACATTGGTTTTCTGGAGCATAATCAGCATATTAACTGAAATGTACTGTACAGTTAAGGGACAGTGGATAAGACGAGAAATTCAGCAAAATACAGTCTCTGCTTATTCTGAATACTGTAAAAAAGGTTCAGTTATAATGTCTCTGGTATAAACCTGATATATGATACCAACAAGCAGAGGAAAACAAAGACACTTAACCCTTTGACCGTTTCAGTCGTATATATACGTCTTACGAGCCACCGTGTTTGACATATATACAGTGGTCCCTCGTTTTTCGTAATTAATCTGTTCCTGGAGGAGCTACTATAAACGAAATTTACGATTTGCGAATCAATTTTCCCCATAAGAAATAATGTAAATACAATTAATCCGTTCCTGACACCCAGAAGTATTAAAACAAAAACAATTTTTACATGAAATATACATGTAGTACATAAACAATACAATGGGAAATGATGAATGAAACATTAACAGCATAACACTTACCTTTATTGGAGATTCTTCTTAGTGTATGGGAGACTGGAGGAGGAGAGAGATTGGATTGTTTACAGTTTGGAAAGGGAATCCCCTTCCGGCAACACCTCAGGTACCAATTGCTTCTCTGGGGTTGCTTCTCTTCTCTGTTTCTTAATGCCACTAGGACCACCTTGAGAGTCACTCTAGTCCTGTCTCGCAAAGTAACTGTGGAGAGAGCTCTGTTTCTGGCATCTCTTTAACACTTCTCTAAAATGGCCCAAGACTTTGTCACTGTACATATTTCTCACCTTCTTTACCACAGGCTTGGCACTAGGAGCTTTCTGTGGAGCCATGGTAGCTTATTTAGTACTTGCAAGCACTAAAATGAGTGGAATATTATGAAATATTTCGTAGGAGCACTTGAGGGGACCTTCACTCACTGGTAAACAATGCCAGACTGGCTGGGTAGGGAGGCCGCCCCAGCTCACACCGTGCGTACGTGTCCCGGACGAACTACTATTCGCGAGTCAACCTATGAAAAGCAAGTCCATGTTTATATGAAAATACCCCTATGATTGGCGAAATTTACGATTGCCGAGAACTACGAAAAGCGAGGGACCACTGTACATGTATACTCAAAAATTTTAGCGGCTTCAAATCAAGCAGGAGAAAGCTGGTAGGCCCACATGTGAGAGAATGGGTCTGTGTGATCAGTGTGCACCATATAAAAAAAAAATCCTGCAGCATGCAGAGAGGAATGAGAAAAAAAAATCTGACCTTTTTTTAATTAAAATGCCGAATGTGTGGTCTATTTTTGTATAGTATTTATGGTTGCATTCTCGTTTTCTTGGTCTCATTTGATAGAATGGAAAACATGTTATAGAAATAGAGGTGATTTTGATTGGTTTTACTATGAAAAGAACCTGGAAATGGAGCTCAAATTAGGGGAAATGTTTGATTTTTGTTGATGTTCAAAAGTAAACAAATGATGTCATTTTCCAATATATGTCCAATTAGCCATTCTAATATGCAGTCATGAATGGGTTGATATTATTTATACAATTATTACAATATTGCAGTAGTCTGCATAACAGTATATCTTCTATTTTTTGTTCGAATAAAAATTCAAAATAGAAAGCAAGAGTAATATCAGAGGGGCCTGGAGACATGACTGATGAACAAAGAAAATGTTATTTTAGAGCCAGGAATGTCTGCATTGTTCATTCTGGACCCTATTTTGAAATTGTCGTATTTTTTTAATTTTCGTGAAATTGGCCAAATTGCAAATTTCTGACCACGTTATTGGGTAGTTGAAATCGGTAAATGGGCAGTTTCTTGTACTCAATCAATAGAAAAAATGGAGTTCTAAAGAAATAGCTATGAGTTTGGTCAACTGGAATAATGGAATTAGCCGAAAATAGGGCTCAAAGTGTGCAAAATCGCCGATTCGTAAATATCGCCGAGGGTGCTAACTTTGCGAGAGCGTAACTCCATCAGTTTTCCATCAAATTTCATTCTTTTGGTGCCATTACAAACAGGAAGAGATTCTCTATCATTTCATAAGAAAAATTTTTTTTTTTTTTTCGGAAATTTTGCGACACCAGGAGACACCTCAGGATTTGGGGTTGCGACAGTCAAGGGGTCAAGTAAAGACTGAAAAACTTTTATTAAAGATTATGGTCCTGGGACTGAGCAAGGCCCCAAGACTCAGATGTTTCCTAATAAATGCTCGGACACATCTTTTTCCCTTTATAATGCCTTTACTATTCTGCTAGTTTTATTCAACAGTTAATTATTAGTGAGCCATTTCCACAACATCTATTGCCTTTTTTATATTAATAATAAATCTCTGCAACAGGTATCAATTTCTGATATTCTAATAGTACTGTAGATCTAGAAAAACTGAAAATTAATAGTATCTACAACAATCCTTATATTTATTGCACATAAAACCAGAAATAATCTTTGAGTTAATAAAAAATAACTAAAGAAATGATACATTATTAATGTTATTAACCAATAACCACTTGTTTTATTCCTTACTTTGGCCATGGAGTAAATTTTGAAATGAAGTCTTCTAGGGCCATGGTCACTCCTTTTACTGTAAGTATTGAGCCCAGCCCTTTCCAAAAAGCAGAGAAACCTTGACATCCTTGCATGTGTATTAAGGCTGGCACAAGTGTTATTGGCAGGACATGGTAACGCTGGCTATTAACATTCACCTGTGGGGACAAAATTATTTTTATTACATCAGACAGAAAGTATGTAGCACATTAAAACCTATTAACCCTTTCAGTGACATGAACCTTCGACATAAAATTAAGTGCTGTCAGTGTTGCTAATAAAAAGTAAAGTAATAATTTTATCTTCTGAAATGGAAAAGATATTTTTCAGAAGGCACTGACACCAAAAATGTGAAATCTGATGGAAAACTTATGGAATTACACAGGTGGTGGTAGTCTGGGCACAATTTACACAATGGCAATTTTGCCTAGAACAAATCCTATTTTATGCCAATTCCAGAATACCTTCTGTTCTACTGATTAAACATAAGAAACCACCCATTCAACTCTCAGAAATATTCTATAATGGCTACAGAATTTAGTAATTTGGCCAATTTTACACACTAAAACAATTTAAAAGTATAGTTCAAAAGAAACAGTGTAGGCATTCCAGCCACTAAAGCAACCTTTCTTTTGTTCATTAGTCATGCTCCCAGACCTCTCCTATATAACACTAGTCCTCCACTTTGAATCCATCATCACATGCATACACAGAAAAAAAAGCAAAGATATACTCCATTTCTTGGATAATAAAATATAACTAAGAATAACTGGTCAAGGTTTAGGCCCATCCCAATAACTGAGGCTGACCTAGTAAAAACTAATAAAACAAACTTGGGAGGGGGAGAAGGGGTCTAACTCTTCCTAAGAAAAATCCACCAAATCATGCACTGCATGTGGCAGAATTTTTTTTTTTTATGCTGTGCACACTTACTGCCCATGTCTAGGCCAAAATTTACTGCTCACAGAATATCTGAGGAAGATATGGTACTATGTTCCACAGTACTATGTTCCACGGTACTATGTTCCACAGTCAGCCCTCCTGGCCCTATATCACTCTCTTATTTACCCCTATCTCACCTATGGAATTTGTGCATAGGGCTCAACAACAATTAACCATCTCAGACCACTAATTACCCAACAAAAGGCTGCAGTCAGAATAACAAATTCCCACTACAGGCAGCACACTCCACCAATATTCAAAACACTAAACCTACTCACCATACAAAACATCCATACTTATTACTGCACCTATTACATACATAGAACACTTAACTCTGATATTAACCCTCCCCTCAAACATCTCCTTGCCAACCTCAACAGAACACATGACCATAACACAAGGCACAGATCACTCTTTGATGTTCCTCGTGTCCATCTCACGCTATGCAAAAACTCAATGCACATAAAAGGCCCTAAAATCTGGAATTCATTACCTGTAAATATAAAAGAAACACTACCTGTTTATAAATTCAAGTCTCTTCTCAAAGATCACTTACACACCCAAAACCAAATAAATACTGAATAACTGAACCTTATAAATTGTATATCTTAAATGTTTCTCACAATTATATCACATAAATGTTAAACCTAAGACCTAATCTAACTTTGTTATTTTTTAAATACACTACCTAACAGAATACTCCATTCGACTGAATGTACAGCAATGCATGCAACCATATGACCTGTCTTTATAATACTCATTTGTGCTTTATTGTTATCTGTTTACAATAATGTTTTATCACTGATTACATCATTGCTTAGTTAATCTTAAGTTAATTTTAAGCCAGCCCGTAATGCTATGCATACAAGTGGCTTTGGCATGCTGCTCTTACCTGTATTTTTTTGTACCTCTGTATGTATGCTCAAATTACTAAATAAATAAATAACTGTTCTTGAAATGCTGATCTACATGGGCAACATCAGCATCAATGATGTAGTTCTATACGGGTGACATTGAAAGGATTAATGACCAGCAAGGAATATGACATAAATGAATGAACATGTGTTATGTCATATTCCTTGTTCATTGTGCTAGATTTGGCAAGAAAGAGAAAAAATAATTTAACATGTGATGATGAACAAGGAGGCTTTAGGAAAGGTAGGGGGTGTGTGGACCAGGTGTTTACAGTGAAACATATAAGTGAACAGTATTTAGATAAGGCTAAAGAAGTTTTTGTGGCATTTAAGGATTTGGAAAAGGCATATGACAAGGTGGATAGGGTGGCAATATGGCAGATGTTGCAGGTGTATGGTGTAGGAGGTAGGTTACTGAAAGCAGTGAAGAGTTTTTTACGAGGATAGTGAGGCTCAAGTTAGAGTATGTAGGAAAGAGGGAGATTATTTCCCAGTAAAAGTAGGCCTTAGACAAGGATGTGTGATGTCACCGTGGTTGTTTAATATATTTATAGATGGGGTTGTAAGAGAAGTAAATGTGAGGGTCTTGGCAAGAGGCATGGAGTTAAAAGATAAAGAATCACACACAAAGTGGGAGTTGTCACAGCTGCTCTTTGCTGATGACACTGTGCTCTTGGGAGATTCTGAAGAGAAGTTGCAGAAGTTGGTGGATGAATTTGGTAGGGTATGCAAAAGAAGAAAATTAAAAGTGAATACAGGAAAGAGTAAGGTTATGAGGATAACAAAAAGATTAGGTGATGAAAGACTGGATATCAGATTGGAGGGAGAGAGTATGGAGGAGGTGAATGTATTCAGATATTTGGGAGTGGACGTGTCAGCAGATGGGTCTATGAAAGATGAGGTGAATCATAGAATTGATGAGGGGAAAAGGGTGAGCGGTGCACTTAGGAGTCTGTGGAGACAAAGAACTTTGTCCTTGGAGGCAAAGAGGAGAATGTATGAGAGTACAGTTTTACCACTGCTCTTATATGGGTGTGAAGCATGGGTGATGAATGTTGCAGCGAGGAGAAGGCTGGAGGCAGTGGAGATGTCATGTCTGAGGGCAATGTGTGGTGTAAATATAATGCAGAGAATTCGTAGTTTGGAAGTTAGGAGGAGGTGCGGGATTACCAAAACTGTTGTCCAGAGGGCTGAGGAAGGGTTGTTGAGGTGGTTCGGACATGTAGAGAGAATGGAGAGAAACAGAATGACTTCAAGAGTGTATCAGTCCGTAGTGGAAGGAAGGCAGGGTAGGGGTCGGCCTAGGAAAGGTTGGAGGGAGGGGGTAAAGGAGGTTTTGTGTGTGAGGGGCTTGGACTTCCAGCAGGCATGCGTGAGCATATTTGATAGGAGTGAATGGAGACAAATGGTTTTTAATACTTGACATGCTGATGGAGTGTGAGCAAAGTAACATTTATGAAGGGATTCAGGGAAACCGGCAGGCCGGACTTGAGTCCTGGAGATGGGAAGTACAGTGCCTGCACTCTGTAGGAGGAGTGTTAATGTTGCAGTTTAAAAACTGTAGTGTAAAGCACCCTTCTGGCAAGACAGTGATGAAGTGAATGATGGTGAAAGTTTTTCTTTTTCAGGCCACCCTGCCTTGGTGGGAATCGGCCAGTGTGTTAATAATAATAAAAAATAATAGTATTATCTGAGTAGAATATTACTCAACTGAACAAAGTTGAAATCCCCTCATATCATGAACATATTGAGATTACAGAACATAACTAAGCTTATTCCATCTTGGCAGTGCTTCAGTACCCTTAAAAAGAACACCCAAGAAGGAGTGGAATGTCAATCAGAATTCAAAAGCCTGATACCAATGTTAAAATACAGTAATATTATTTATTTTCTAAAAATCATATTTTTCCTCTCAAGAAATATTGAACAAAAGAGCTTTGCATTACCATTCTCTCATTTTATACTGTTAGTCAAGTGGTGTACGTACTAACATACTACAGTACATACACTGTACTAACATACTACAGTACATACACTGTACTAGCATACTACAGTACATACACTTGTACTAGTCATACTTACAGTACCTACACTGTACTAACATACTACAGTACATACACTGTACTAGCATACTACAGTACATACACTGTACTAGCATACTACAGTACATACACTGTACTAACATACTACAGTACATACACTGTACTAGCATACTACAGTACATACACTGTACTAGCATACTACAGTACATACACTGTACTAGCATACTACAGTACATACACTGTACTAACATACTACAACACATGAATTGACTCCTGGAACCACAATTAGGCGAGTACATACAGTGTAAGTTATATGGTGTACTAACATACTACTATACAATACATATGGTATTTCATTAAGTATAATAACATACTACTATACAGTACATACTTTGTTAATGATGTAGTATACTAACATACTACTGCAGAGTATATGCTTTGTCAGTGGTGTAGTGTACTAACATACTACTGTACAGAATATACATTGTTAGTGGTGTAGTGTACTAACATACTACTGTACAGTACATACATTGTTAGTGGTGTAGTGTACTAACATACTGTACAATACAGTACTTTGTTACTGGTGTAATGAACTAACATACTACTGTACAGTAAATACATTGTTAGTGGTATAGTGTACTACTACTGTAACAGTACATACTTTGTCACTGGTGTAATGTACTAACATACTACTGTACAGTACATACATTGTTAGTGGTGTAGTGTACTAACATACTACTGTACAGTACATACATTGTTAGTGGTGTAGTGTACTAACATACTACTGTACAGTACATACATTGTTAGTGGTGTAGTGTACTAACATACTACTGTACAGTACATACATTGTTAGTGGTGTAGTGTACTAACATACTGTACAATACAGTACTTTGTTACTGGTGTAATGAACTAACATACTACTGTACAGTAAATACATTGTTAGTGTTATAGTGTACTACTACTGTAACAGTACATACTTTGTCACTGGTGTAATGTACTAACATACTACTGTACAATACATATACTGTATTGCCATACCTGGCACTGTCTTCTAACCACAATAAAGGGATGACTAAGTAAATTTTCTGAACACAAGCTGACTATGTTGATGGATAACTCTCCATATTTCTCCATCTGAATGTCTGAAAGTATAAAGTACATTATATTATAACATTATTTTACATTACTGAGTATCGCTTAATCTTTTTCATAAATATATTACAGTATATATTGTATAACAAATGAAAAACTGCATCTCACCATATGTATCATGCAGTTACAGTGAGATAACTTAAATTATTTTTTATACAAAAGTATAGTTACTGTAATATTATTTTTTGCTTCATAAATTACAAAATGCATATCACATAAAAATGTGTCAGAACATATACAGTATAAGACTAATTTCACTTAATCTTTTCTTTAAGGACTGCTGAAAATGCATTAATTTATTTAATGGTAATATAAAAGTATTACAATCCTGAAGCTGCATCAGCCAATGTTAACACAGTAACAGCCTCAAAATCACATAAAAATAAAACAAACAACATAAGCTGCAGCATATTAGTCTATAGAATTTAATCTAGAACAAAAGAATTGTGATTAACATACAATCTGAGCTCATTTAACTGTGTGTGGCATATAAATGTTCATTTTATATAACTTAAAAATAAAAACTGATATTAAAATTAGAATTAATACTGGGTTATTCTAAAGCTGGAGTAATAAAGTCATAGATAACAAAGATAAAAAAAAAAGGGTTACCAAAATATCTGAGAGTTAATATAACATGTATATTTTTATTTATTATTTTATTAACACACTGGCCGATTCCCACCAAGGCAGGGTGGCCCGAAAAAGAAAAACTTTCACCATCATTCGCTCCATCACTGTCTTGCCAGAAGGGTGCTTTACACTACAGTTTTTAAACTGCAACATTAACACCCCTCCTACAGAGTGCAGGCACTGTACTTCCCATCTCCAGGACTCAAGTCCGGCCTGCGGTTTCCCTGAATCCCTTCATAAATGTTACTTTGCTCACACTCCAACAGCACGTCAAGTATTAAAAGTCATTTGTCTCCATTCACTCCTATCAAACACGCTCACGCATGCCCACTGGAAGTCCAAGCCCCTCGCACACAAAACCTCCTTTACCCCCTCCCTCCAACCTTTCCTAGGCCGACCCCTACCCCGCCTTCCTTCCACTACAGACTGATACACTCTTGAAGTCATTCTGTTTCGCTCCATTCTCTCTACATGTCCGAACCACCTCAACAACCCTTCCTCAGCCCTCTGGACAACAGTTTTGGTAATCCCGCACCTCCTCCTAACTTCCAAACTACGAATTCTCTGCATTATATTCACACCACACATTGCCCTCAGACATGACATCTCCACTGCCTCCAGCCTTCTCCTCGCTGCAACATTCATCACCCATGCTTCACACCCATATAAGAGCGTTGGTAAAACTATACTCTCATACATTCCCCTCTTTGCCTCCAAGGACAAAGTTCTTTGTCTCCACAGACTCCTAAGTGCACCGCTCACCCTTTTCCCCTCATCAATTCTATGATTCACCTCATCTTTCATAGACCCATCTGCTGACACGTCCACTCCCAAATATCTGAATACATTCACTTCCTCCATACTCTCTCCCTCCAATCTGATATCCAATCTTTCATCACCTAATCTTTTTGTTATCCTCATAACCTTACTCTTTCCTGTATTCACTTTCAATTTTCTTCTTTTACATTTTTTTTTTTTTTAACAAGTTGGCCATCTCCCACCGAGGCAGGGTGACCCAAAAAAGAAAGAAAATCCCCAAAAAGAAAATGCTTTCATCATCATTCAACACTTTCACCACACTCACACATAATCACAGTTTTTGCAGAGGTGCTCAGAATACAACAGTCTAGAAGCATATACGTATAAAGATACACAACATATCTCTCCAAACTGCCAATATCCCAAACCCCTCCTTTAAAGTGCAGGCATTGTACTTCCCATTTCCAGGACTCAAGTCCGACTATATGAAAATAACCGGTTTCCCTGAATCCCTTCACTAAATATTACCCTGCTCACACTCCAACAGATCGTCAGGTCCCAAGTACCATTCGTCTCCATTCACTCCTATCTAACACGCTCATGCACGCTTGCTGGAAGTCCAAGCCCCTCGCCCACAAAACCTCCTTTACCCCTTCTCTCCAACCCTTTCGAGGATGACCCTTACCTCGCCTTCCTTCCCCTATACATTTATATGCTTTCCATGTCATTCTACTTTGATCCATTCTCTCTAAATGACCAAACCACCTCAACAACCCCTCTTCTGCCCCCTGACTAATACTTTTATTAACTCCACACCTTTTCCTAATTTCCACACTCCGAATTTTCTGCATAATATTTACACCACACATTGCCCTTAGACAGGACATCTCCACTGCCTCCAACTGTCTCCTCGCTGCTGCATTTACCACCCAAGCTTCACACCCATATAAGAGTGTTGGTACTACTATACTTTCATACATTCCCTTCTTTGCCTCCATAGATAACGTTTTTTGACTCCATATATACCTCAATGCACCACTCACCTTTTTTCCCTCATCAATTCTATGATTAACCTCATCCTTCATAAATCCATCCACCGACACGTCAACTCCCAAGTATCTGAAAACATTTACTTCTTCCATACTCCTCCTCCCCAATTTGATATCCAATTTTTCTTTATCTAAATCATTTGATACCCTCATCACCTTACTCTTTTCTATGTTCACTTTCAACTTTCTACCTTTACACACATTCCCAAACTCATCCACTAACCTTTGCAATTTTTCTTAGAATCTCCCATAAGCACAGTATCATCAGCAAAAAGTAACTGTGTTAATTCCCATTTTGAATTTGATTCCCCATAATATAATCCCACCCCTCTCCTGAACACCCTAGCATTTACTTCTTTTACAACCCCATCTATAAATATATTAAACAACCATGGTGACATTACACATCCCTGTCTAAGACCTACTTTTACTGGGAAGTAGTCTCCCTCTCTTCTACAGACTCTAACCTGAGCCTCACTATCCTCATAAAAACTCTTTACAGCATTTAGTAACTGACCACCTATTCCATATACTTGCAACATCTGCCACATTACTCCCCTATCCACTCTATCATATGCCTTTTCTAAATCCATAAATGCAATAAAAACTTCCCTACCTTTATCTAAATACTGTTCACATATATGCTTCAATGTAAACACTTGATCTACACATCCCCTACCCACTCTGAAACCTCCTTGCTCATCCGCAATCCTACATTCTGTCTTACCTCTAATTCTTTCAATTATAACCCTACCGTACACTTTTCCTGGTATACTCAATAAACTTATTCCTCTATAATTTTTACAATCTCTTTTGTGCCCTTTCCCTTTATATAAAGGGACTATACATGCTCTCCGCCAATCCCTAGGTACCTTCCCCTCTTTCATACATTTATTAAACAAAAGTACCAACCACTCCAACACTATATCCCCCCTGCTTTTAACATTTCTGTCATGATCCCATCAGTTCCAGCTGCTTTACCCCCTTTCAGTCTACGTAATGCCTCATGTACCTCCCCACACTTACATTCTGCTCTTCTTCACTCCTAAAAGATGGTATACCTCCCTGACCAGTGCATGAAATTACCGCCTCCCTTTCTTCCTCAACATTTTAAAAGTTCCTCAAAATATTCTCGCCATCTACCTAATACCTCCCTCTCCCCATCTACTAACTCCCCTACTCTGTTTTTAACTGACAAATCCATACTTTCCCTAGGCTTTCTTACTTGTTTAACTCACTTCCAAATTTTTTTCTTATTTTCATTAAAATTTCTTGACAGTGCCTCTCCCACTCTATCTATCTGCTCTCCTTTTGCACTCTCTCACCACTCTCTTCACCTTTCTTTTACTGGTCCATATACTCTGCTTTTCTTATAACACTTCTGCTTTGTAAAAACCTCTCATAAGCTAACTTTTTCTCTTTTATCACACCCTTTACTTCATCATTCCACCAATCACTCTCTTTCCACCTGCCCCCACCCTCCTATAACCACAAACTTCTGCCCCACATTCTAATACTGCATTTTTAAAACTATTCCAACCCTCTTCAACCCCCCCACTACTCATTCTTTGCACTAGCCCCACCTTTCTGCCAACAGTCGCTTGTATCTCCCCCGAACTTCCTCCTCCCTTAGTTTATACACTTTCACCTCCCTCTTACTTGTTGTTGCCACCTTCCTCTTTTCCCATCTACCTCTTACTCTAACTGTAGCTACAACTAAATAATGATTCCTATATATCAGTTGCCCCTCTATAAACATGTACATCCTGGAGCCTACCCATCAAGCTTTTATCCACCAATACATAATCTAACAAACTACTTTCATTACGTGCTACATCATACCTTGTATATAAATTTATCCTCTTTTTCATAAAATATGTATTACTTATTACCAAATCTCTTTCTACACATAGCTCAATTAAAGGCTCCCCATTTACATTTACCCCTGGCACCCCAAATTTACCTACTACTTCCTCCATAACATTTTTACCCACTTTAGTATTGAAATCCCCAACCACCATTACTTTCACACTTGATTGAAAATTCCCCACGCATTCACTCAACATTTCCCAAAATCTCTCTCTCTCCTCTACACTTCTTTCTTCTCCAGGTGCATACACGCTTACTATAACCCACTTTTCACATCCAATCTTTATTTTACTTCACATAATCCTTGAATTAATACATTTATAGTCCCTCTTTTCCTGCCATAGCTTATCCTTCAACATTATTGCTACTCCTTCTTTAGCTCTAACTCTATTTGAAACCCCTGACCTAATCCCATTTATTCCTCTCCATTGAAACTCTCCCACCCCCTTCAGCTTCGTTTCACTTAAAGCCAGGACATCCAGCTTCTTCTCATTCATAACATCCACAATCATCTCTTTCTTATCATTTGCACAACATCCACACACATTCAGACTTCCCACTTTGACAATTTTCTTCTTATTCTTTTTAGTAATCTTTACAGGAAAAGGCGTTACTAGCCCATTGTTCCCGGCATTTTAGTTGACTTTTACAACACGCATGGCTTACGGAGGAAAGATTCTTATTCCACTTCCCCATGGATATAAAAGGAAAAGTAATAAGACCAAGAACTATTAAGATAAAATCAAAGAAAACTCAGATGAATGTGTATAAATAAACGTGTACATGTATGTGTAGTGTGACCTAAGTGTAAGTAAAAGTAGCAAGACATACCTGTAATCTTGCATATTTATGAGACAGACAAAAGACACCAGCAATCCTACCATCATGTAAAACAATTACAGGCTTTTGTTTTACATTCACTTGGCAGGACGGTAGTACTTCCCTGGATGGTTTCTGTCTACCAACCTACTTCCTACAAAATTCATCCACCAACCTCTGCAACTTCTCTTCAGAATCTCCCAAGAGCACAGTGCCATCAGCAAAGAGCAACTGTGACAACTCCCACTTTATGTGTGATTCTTTATCTTTTAACTACACGCCTCTTGCCAAGACCCTCGCATTTACTTCTCTTACAACATGTATAATGTACTGTAAATTCAAACTAGAACAATGTTTACAAATGAATGAGAAGAGATAACATGGTGTGTAAGATAATTCAAGGTATAACTCGAGACAAAATTATGTGTAGCATACATGAGCTGGACTATAGCTGCACAAGTTGGTCTATGACTCCACAAGTTGGACTATGACTGCACGAGCTGCACTATGGCTGCACGAGTTGGACTAAGGCAGCATAAGCTGGACTATGGCTGCACTAGCTGGACCATGGCTACACAAGCTGAACTACAGATGCACAAGCTACACTATGGCTACATGAGCTGCACTATAGCTGCATGAGCTGCACTATGGCTACACAAGCTGCACTATGGCTACATGAGCTGCACGAGATGGATTACAGCTGCATGAGCCGGACTATGGCTGCACAAGCTGCACTATGGTTGCACAAGCTGCACTATGGCTACACGAGATGCATCACAGCAACATGAGCTGGACTATGGCTACACGAGTTGGACTATGTCTACATGAGCTGGACGATTTTTACATGAGTAAACCTTTAGCTATAACAGCATGATTATGGATACATCAGCAGTACTACTGCACAGTACAGTAAATTCTAAAAATATCAATGGGCAAGCTTGCTGTTACTTGCCAATCTACTGCCATGCTGTGTGCAACTCTAAGTATACGAGCTTATAATGTACTCGACAGCTATAAAATACAGCACAGTGTTTGCAAATTATTCAGATGAGTGATTTGTCATTTCCTATCTAAATAGATTATTTGTTTTCCCCCAAGGTTGTGAGGTTAAATTATCAACCAGTTTCACCATCACTGACCCTTGTGGCTCAATCTCCTACATACATCTGGCAAAATATATTCATCCTACCATATGTCTCACAGCAATCAGGAAAGAAATATATGTACTGCATATACTGTACATACAAACTTCCTGCTCTCCAAGGGAAGAACAAACTCCCAAAGTTGTTGCTCCCATTAAGTACTGGTAATTTTTCAGACAAAATGGGTTGAAACAGCTGACTATAAAAATGATGCAATTACATTTTCTCAAATTTAATTTTTTCACTTGTATTTTTAGACATGGTTCTTAACAGCAAATATCCATTACCCTTGTATGAATCATGATCATGAGGCTTTGGTAAAACTGGTTTAGTTGTCTGAGGAGAGCCATGTACAGGGTTCAGTAGAGTCTGAGGGAACTCGGTGGGTCTCCGATAACAGTCTGTTGGTTCCATTATTTTTTCCTTATCTTCGTAAGTCTTCTGCCAAAAAGGGGTCTCTCTCTCACGTAGGTTTGAAAAGAACTGGTAGTCATCAAGTCCAGCCATAATACAGGCTAGGATGTGATGTGCTCTAACAAAGGCCTAAGTTTCACACCAGTATCATCATTCTCCCAATTGGGTCATTCAACTTTCTCTGAAAAAGAGATTCAGTTTTGAAATATGCACTTCAAGATGCAAGTGAAATGTGGCTTTAGCAGGATTCTAAAATTTTAAGGGGTGGCCTCATTTAAAAGAAAATCAGAAAATTTTCAAGAGGAATTTTATATGGTTAAATTATTAGTAAAAGATTGGAAGGACAATGAATGGGAAGTTAATTTTTATTAAACACTAAAACAATAAACAACTTATTTCTTTGTGTAGTATACAAAGTGTAGTTTACACTTAATAAAATGTTAAGCACAAAGAAAGCCACTAACATGCATGTGCATTTCGGGCAGACTAATCCTAATACTTACAGACTACTGAGATTAGATGTAGGTAACCGAGAGGTAAATTTTAATTATGTAGTACAGCCTCTCCTCACTTAACAACGGAGTTCTGTTCCTAAGACAACATCAGTAAACAAATTCGCCAATAAGTGAGGAGCATATTATAATGGTAGTGGGTTTGTTTCAACCATCTTTGATATTGTTTTGATATCACCTTTGCAGCATTTATAACATTTTTAGTATATTTTTAAATGTTTATACGGTAGTGTACTGTGTAATGTAATGAATAGAGGAAATCAGCTGTAATATACATTATTTAGGTATGCATACGGGTCAGAAGTTCCGCTGTAAGTCCAGGTCATTCAAATTCAAATTCAAAGTTTATTCTCTATAAGGATTACAATGCTGAGTTTACAGAATTTGGTTATTGTGTGGTTTACATGTAGTAAAATACTAATTACAGAGGGAGCCACTAGAACACCTAGCATGGCTAGGCATTTTGGGCAGACTTAGATTAATTCTTAACTTTAAAATATTACAAATTATGAGGTAAGTTGGTATTATGGCTAAGTGACTAAATACTAGTTTGTGAGTTTGGCTAAGTGACTAAATACTAGTTTGTGAGTTTAGCAATGTGAATGCTTTTGTTTTGGCACAATACATAGTTTCAATATTGGAGTATCATTGGTAAACGAGTACATTGCTAAGTGAGTAGAGGCTGTATTATTACAAAAGAGAGAGGGAGTAAAGAATATTACAATTAGTACAATTTACAATTAGTACAGTGTGGATGCAGGATGAAAACAAGATGAGCTCTATACCAAATGATGTTGCAATATTTTATACTAAAAAAATAGTGATACTGACATTATGAGTTTGAGTGAGAGGATTATTATTATTATAATAAAAAAGAAGCGTTAAGCCCACTAAGGTCATACAGCGCTGCTTGAGAGAGAGGAAAGATAGAAAACAAATGAGGGGAAGATGGAAAAGAGGGAGGGAGAGAGGAGAGATTAGAGAGAAGAGGTAGATAGGGGTGAGGAAGATCAGAAAGAAGGAAAGGGGAGAAAGACCATAAGAAAGTAAAGAATGAGGGAGGGGGACAGGAGGGAAAAAAGATCTGCAGTTTATAATAATAATAATAATATAATAATAATAATAATAATAATAATAATAAAAATAATAATAATAAAAAAAATAATAATAATAATAATAATAATAACAATAATAATAACCTTTATAACTGAGTGCTTATATATACAGTCTCTCAGGAGGTTGTAAAAATAAAATTAAGAGTTACAATGAATACAAGAGAATTGAATATCCTATTAGTACACAATATACGAGCTTAATTGTTTTAAGAATTACAGGTTTGATTATGATTACAGGTAATGAGGATTCTAGCATATTAACAAAATGTGAACACATTCTGTATTTTAGTGGTTTGTGACAATGAGAATATGGATATGTAGCTTTCTCATATTTAGCTGATGTTGGATATGTTAGGGACAGAAGGTGTTTTTTAACACTAGTTTTGAAGATGCTCACTGAGACAGTGGCTCTGGAGATTTCTGGCAGGGAGTTCCAGATTTTGGGCCCTTTTATTCACACTGAATTTTAACAAAGGTTAAGCTGAACACAGGGTATGCCATAGACATTTTTGTGCCTAGTATTGTCTATGGGTCTTGTTGCAACTATCAAGAAAGTGCTTCAGGTCAGGATTAATATTAGATTTTATTGTTTTGTATATGTAGGATGCACAGTAGTAAGAGCAAATGTTTTGTATAGTAAGCAGATTTAGGTGTTTGAAGAGTGGGAGGGGGGAATGTGTAATGGACTGTGATCATTTGTACTGTATTTTTTTTTGCGAGTTAATTTTGGGTTTGAGGAATTTTCCCGTTGTGGATCCCCAGGCACAAGTAAAGTAAAAATGTGCCCCCTAGTTCGATTGGCCAGCATACTCAGCTCCCCAAAAAGAGGTCGATTTTTCAACCCCCCTTTGGGTGGAAACAGGACGTGTTTCCTTTAAAAACCCCTGTTGTCCATGTTCACCCATCAAAAAAATAGGTTTTGGGGTGTTAGTCGACAATGTGGGAACAATCGACCTCTTGTTAAATTACTAGGATCCCCCAAAAAGTTGTGTTTTATGGGCAAAAATCTTGTTAATACATACACCGTTTTTTTAAAATTTGGAGCAAAACGAGAGCCCATCACTGTGTGTGACCTCACCTTTTGGGGTGACCTCACCTGTGTATGTGCCCATCACTGTGTATGTGACCATCACCTGGTATGTACCATCCCTGTTTTGTACCATCACCTGTGTTGTGACCTTCCCCGTGTATGTGACCACACCTGTGTATGTGCCATACCTGTGTAGTGACCTCACCTTTGGTATGTGACCACACCGGTGTGACCATCCCCTGGTGTGACCTCACCGTATGTGACCATCCCCTGGTATGGACCCACCTGGTTGTGGCCATCCCCTGTGTATTGACCTCACCTGTGTATGTGACCATCACCTTGTTGTGACCATCCCCTGTGTGTACCATCACCTGGATGACCATCACCTGTATGTACCATCACCTGTGTATTCCCCATCACCTGTGTAGGGTGCCCATCACTGTGTAGTCCCATCCCTGTTTTGGGACCATCCCCTGTGTATGTGAACCATCACCTGTGTATGTGCCCCATCCGTGTATGTGACCATCCCCTTGTTGTGACCTCACCCTGTGATGTGCCATCACCTGGTGTGCCCCATCACCTGGTGTGACCATCACCTGTGTGTGACCTCACCTGTGTGTGACATCACCTGTGTGGACCTCCCGTGACTCAGCTTCACGGGTCTGTGCAGACCCTCCTTCAGAAAAAATAGTGGGGCAGCAGCAGCATCCCCTCTCAGCAGTTAGCTGTGGCAGCAGCGCAGCCTCCCTCAGCGATGACTGGGCAGCAGCACACCCCTCCTCTCAGCAGATAGCTGTGCAGCAGACAGCCTCCTCTCAGCGTAGACTGGGGCAGCGCGCACCTCCCTCAGCGATAACTGTGGCAGCGCAGCAGCCTCCTCTAGCAGAAAAATGTGGCAAGCAGACCCTTTCCTCTCAGCAGATAGACTGTGGCAGCAGCAGCCCCCTCTACAGATGACTGTGGTAGCAGCAGCCCCCCTTCAGCGATAGATTTTGTAGCGCGGAGGCAGCAGCCTACTCCAGCGGGATGGGGGTTAGCGCAGCTGGGGCAGCAGCCTCCTAGCGGGTAGACGTGGTAGCAGCAGCTGGGCGCACCCTCCTCCAGAATAGTGTGTAGCAGCACTGAGGAGCACCCTACTCTCACGGGTAGATGTTTTAGCGCGCTGGGGCGCACCCTCCTCCAGCAGGTAGACTGTGGCGCCCTAACAAAAACAAACAGCCACCACCAAATTGCTGCAAAACCTTGCAGTGTCAAAATAAGATATTAAGAACACTGTAAAGGGCAACCCCAACAGCGACGACAAAACACAACATGATAGCTGATGACGGGTACTACCACTACACCCCCTTTACCACCACAACAACCCCTCTCCATACCACAACAACCCCTTCCCAAACTACACCCTCTACACACAAACAACCCCTCTCCCACCCTTCTACCCCAAACAACCCCTCCCCACTACCCCAACAATCCCTCTACCATTATACCTTTTCCTTACACCTGTTGCCCTGTTCCCTAGCAGAAAAATAGGTCCCCTGGGGTTGCACTGGTGTGGGTGCATCTGGGGGAAAAGTTAAAAGGCCCCCAAAGGGAAATAATTAGACAGTCCCTTTGACCCCCTGACTTTCTTGATTTTCCCGGGGTGGCTAACCCCCCCGGGGTTTAAAAAACCCGAACGAAATCTTTTTTATCTTATCACTACCCCCCCTCTACTACCTTCACAACAACCCCTCTACCCCCTCTTCTACCCCCCAAAAACAATCCCTCTACCACTCCCCCCCGCTTTACCACCACAACAACCCTCTCCCACTCACAAAAACCCCTCTCCACTCCACCCTCCAACACACAAAAACCCCCTTACCACCCTCTTCTCCACCACAAAACCCCTCTCCACTACCACAACAATCCCCTACCATCCACCCCTCTACTACCATCACAACAATCCCCTACCACCGTCTTTCCACCACAACACCCCTTACCATTTCCCCCCCACCCTCTATCCCATTCCAAAAAATTCCTCTACACCCTTTTTTTCCACCCAAAAACCCTCTACCACAACAAAATCCCTCTAAAAACTCACCCTCTACCCCCTCACAACAACCCCTTAAAACCCCCCCTCCCACCACCTCTACTACCACCACAATTTTTTACAACAATCCCTACCACACCATCTACTACATCACAACTCCCTCTCCACCCCCCACTCCCACCCCTCTACCACCACAACAATCCCTCTACCACTCCCACAACAATCCCTCTCCACACCACACCTCTACTACCATCACAAAAAACCCTTTTACCCCCCCCTACCACTACCCCCCCCTACCAACCCCCCCTTACTCCCACCACAACAACCCCTTACCACTCCCACAACATCCCTCTCCCACACACAAACAATCCCTTACCACTCCCACAAAAATCCCTTACCATCCCCACCCCTCTATCCACACAACCCCTCTACCACCCTACCACTAATCCCCCCTTTACTCCACCCAACACCCCTCTACCCAAACCCCCCTCACTC